GGTCACACTCACTCACACATGTACGTTATGAAATTTGTTCATTTAGCAGACATTTTGATACTCATTCTCATTTGCATGGGTCCTTAAAGTTTTAAAAAGTCATACATTTAGTTGTATCTCATTTAAGGCTATAAATCGTAAATGGCAGGGCTGTATGTTAACTGTTTTGCACACAAGGAGTTCATCACTTCAACACAAACAGGCATTGATGTTCCATACAGAGAACACAAAAAATACTAACCATCACAAAAACTGTTTTTAGACAGTTTTTTTTCTTTGTTTGCTAAAAATGGAAGAGTGCAGAAACATAACGTAAACCTCAACAAAACATAAGAGGCCAAAAATGGGCAAAGATAAAAATCCTTGTCATTATTTTATCTTTGTTATTAGAAAATAAGAGCAAAGATATACATTACAAATACACACAATATACAAAAAACAGACAGTGCTTTATGTTTTTGACAGGGCAGTTTAAACCGTGACGGGGTGCAGGTAACTAAGCAGCAGAGCGTCTGTTAAAGACACCGTTATGACCCAAAGCTTGCCTACTATTCCGCTGCATACTCTTCACAAAAAGAGTACATACTTTTAGGGCCTAGTATAAGTAGGTGAATTGGGACGCAGCAACGGTCTGGCTGTGGTTGTGTATCGTTTTGTGTATGTTGAATAACTAAAGCTGTTTCTGGCTGAGGATTTCCCCGGCTGCGTTGGCCGCTCTTCTGCTCTCCCTGATGTTATCCGTTTCTTCCCGTCAGGTACGACCACGACAGCGGTCACGACAGCGGCAGCGAAGACGCCTGTTTCGAGGTTTCGCAGCCCTTCATGCTGGTCACCGTGGGCATGGGCCGGCTCTTCATCCCCAAAGCGTCTGCCAGCGCCGCAGGGGACCACAGCAGCCGAGTCCTGCCCATGCCGCAGAGGATCGGAGTCTGTCTGGACTATGACGCCGCTCGCGTGTTCTTCTACGACGCAGACACCATGCGCTGTGTGTACGAGCGACCTGTGGACTGCTCCGGCACCATGTTCCCTGCGTTCGGGCTCCTGGGCGGCGGCGCGGTTCATCTGGAGGAGTTCATCACAGCCAAGCGGCTCTCGTACCTGTGAGGTGTCCGCTAGCTCTGTTAACTCCGTCTCGTTCTCTTGAGTTCCTCGTCGTGTGGCTCGCCGCTCAAATATACAAGTCAGTCTGGTTTAAGAGACGAGTCTGGTCTCGAGTGCCTTCAGCCGACCACACCATCAGGGTTCACGCAGGGCACCTTAATACACCCAAATCTAATGCATAGCCTCACCACGTCACTTTCTGAAGAATGTGCACTGATACTGTTAATTACTTGACATCGTTTACATGCAGTTAAGTGAGCTTAACGACAAGCGGTATGATTTGAACACCAGAATTGACTTCTGAACACATGATTGTGCAATAATTATTATTTTGTTATTGTAGCAGCACCTGTAAAACGTAGAAATGTTTCAAAGTAAATAAAAACAAATGAATCAGTCTGTCTTAAAACAGCATGTAGATACGATTGTGCTAGAGATGTTTTTTTGTAATCGCGTGAAACACTTTAATGAAATGTAGCATCTGAATCAAAGCGGTGCTAATCAAACGAGACAGACCTGAACACTTTAAATGTACATATGCACTATTATTGTCCAGGCGAGGACTAACATGGCCTTATATTGAGTAATCGCAGGCTCGCCGCTTCTTTAACCAGACGACTGGCTAGAACGGGACTGGGGCTCTACTACCTCTGATCGCAGGAGGATCTCGTAGCTTATTCTGTAGTTGTGCCGCGCTAGTCTTGTGCTGTGATACGGAGGATATAAACATGTCATCTTAAAGTCTGAGCATGTTTGAGACGTGTCCTACTACCCGATTATAGTGGATTATTTCCCTCTTTTTCCTTGTCATTAAAATCTCACACTAATCAAACGTTTTCAACAGTGTGACCGCATAAAAGGAGACTTGTGTTCTCTGACCGCTTTAGACGATTAGATTGAGCTTTTACATGTTTGTGATCATTTTTAAAAGTGTGTTTGTGTGTAAGATTAGTGGACTGAAGAACTGAGAGCATCTTTTATGAGTTCCACCATTTCTGTTTGTTTTTGCTTCATCCGTATGAATTGATTTTCACTGTTTTCACATGTTCCCCATCCGAACGGGTTGTTTAGTTGCGCTGGATGAGGAATAATGCACTTGTTCACTGAAGGGGTGTTTGGGAGCCTGTAACCAAATGTTCTGCTGTTTCTTGTACATGTTAAACAGGGTTTGTAATCGTTACGGTGTGTAATGTGGTACTGAGCTTATGTATGAGTCCTGCTGAAGTTCTTTAGCACTTTAAAGCATGCGTGAGCTTGATGCAGGTGTGATCTATCACAGGCTTTACAGCTGTCTCTCTCACCTGCATCTGCTTGGTTTTATTTTTTATGTACTGTGTGGGTTTTTGTATAAAAATACATGAATGTCCTTTTAGCTGTCAGTCCTGCTGTTTCCTTTCCCCCCAAACCAACTTTTTAAATAGAAATGCTGAGTGAGCAACATATTATGTGCATTTCATTATTATGACTGAAAATAAATGATCAGGGGCTGCCAGACTCTAGAAGAAGAATAATAAAGTAGTCTAAAATGTATATCAGATTTGAACAGACACAAGTGCAAGTGAAACAGCTAGTTTTATAGGGTTAATTTAGTGGATGTTCATCTCACAAAGCAAAACTGTTCTCTTATAAAAGCATTGCTCGGTAAATGCATGTATCTGGTGTTGTCAGTCATGAAAGGTGACTATAAGGCCAGTGTTTTCTAACCCTGTTAGATATATGCATCATCTTTTATCTCACATTCTTACATTTAATCAATAAATTCAATTAGAATAAGACGACACTGTAGGCTGTTACCAATCAAATGAAATCAGTGTCAGTAAAATCCAGTTTTGCACTGCAGAAGAAGCGTTTAGATGAAGTTACACTAATTATAATCGCATAAATAATGCAAAGGTCTTAAAATAATATTTAAATAAAATGAGCTTTTATAAATGACACCTTAAATATGAAACCAAAACTGCAAGTCATTGAATCAACCGATCTGAAACCGCTGATTTATTCAGGATCAAGTCTCTATGAATGAATCACTGGTTTGTTCAAAAAACTGCCTTCGCTTTGAAAGTAACGAAACACTGCTGTAACTCTGTAACGCGGTCCGTTACGGTTTTGTTTGGAAGGATTTTGGTTGCTGAAAACACAATACTGACAGCATCTGATCTGTGATCGCGCTGATATTCGAAACAGCATGTGATATTATATCATGTAGAAATATAAGACTAACTCATACAGGGGCACTGACTTCTACTCGCCTCCATCACACAGTCAAGAGAGCACTGTGTTTGTTTCATTAAACATCAGTTACTGTAATATGCAGACAGGGACATCAAACAGGAAGACTGTTATGCCATGTTTAATATAACACAAGTCTACACATCATCATTTCATGCCGTTACGCACTACGGTGGTAGAACACGACGACAGCACAGTCCATCAGTCTGCGCTCGTGCGAGTTCTGGACCACCCGCATCTAGAGTCCAGCGCGCGAGACGCCGCCATGTTTCTTCATGATGTATAAGACACAAGAATGAAGTGGTAACAGCTTGAACTGACGTACAAACACTCAGAGATCTGCCTCCAGCAGCCTCAGCTCGTCCCGTAAGGCCTGGCCCCGGCTCAGTTTGTCCAGCTGCTCCCTGCTGGGGGTCTTCAGCTCTCCAGAGTCCACCTTCTGCTGGAGCTCCTCCACCTGCCGCAGCTTCTTCCGCAGGTTCTTCATCTTCTTGGCCTTCTCTGTCGAGTCGCTGGTGGTCTCCTCCTCTGCGGCGAGGCTCATGTGCTCCAGCTCCGCGCTCGGGGCCTCCTGCGGACTCTGCTGTTTGCGCTTCTCTTTGCGCTTCATGTTGCGTTTGGCGGTCTTGGAGAGTGCGGCGGCGTCGCTCTGTGTCTCGTCCTCGGGGGTCATGCCGGGCGGCAGCTCGGGTTTGCTCTTGAAGAACTTGACGTACTTGTTCTCATAGCTGCAGACAGAGAGAAGCGTGTTAGCGGAGCGCACACATGCACAGAGCGAGGGCTGGCGGCGGTGGAGCTTACACCGGGACCTCCTCCTGAGGAACGAATCCGTCCTTCACGCGCCGCGGTCTCCTCCACGAGCCGTCCGGACGCTGCGTGGCCCCGATATATTTACCTCAAACACACACACATTTACTCTTTTATTTGGATCCACCAGACAACACAGGTGCAAACAGCTGAAAACTCTTTGAAAACAGCTGATTTACAACTTGTTGCAGCATTTTACAAAAATCAAGATTGAATATATTTGGTGAATATCCCATGTTATAACGATGCAGTGCTGTTTAAGAGAATATTGGCTGATCAGCCTGCGATGTTTCCCTCGCTCTCTTCACTGTTCCCGCATCTCAGGTCTCAAATACAGGAAATATTACCCTTTTTAGACATAGATTTTGAATTAAACAGTAAAGAAAATACTACACAAAACTTATTGAAACAACAGTTCTTTATTTACTCTTGTAAGACCCCCTCCTCTCACAGGTGAGCTGTTCTGATCTGAAGAAGCTGAGTAACACACATTCACAAGTGCTTATATTTATAACATCAAGGACAGACAATGTGTGCATGCTCTCTATAACGGCTGAAACTGAACAGCATTTCTTTTTTTGCAACCCACTGAACTGCGGTCCTTTAATCACGCTCTTGTGCACACGACCCTAGCCTGCGAACACTAGAGTAGTTCCCCTACAGACCGTCAGGCTGATGTTTCAGCAGTCTGGGAAGATAGCAGAGATCCAAATACAGATCGAAACAACAGCCGTCTTATCTGCATATGGCACAGAAACTCTAAACATAACATTTTGAAGCTCTGCGACACTGAAAACTTTTACTTTATTACTCTAATTTAATTAAATTGATTTATTTTTAATGAATTAAATTAATAAAAAAAC